GTGTCCATAGCGTCGTTTAAGTGGCAATTTCAGTCCACATGGTGTGCTAAACGTATCACGATTCATCTTCGTGACAAGGCCCGTAGTTTATTCGACGCAACGAGCAGAACGTGGTTCGTTTTGTCGGTAATCGGTCCCGAGCCAATAAACGTTACTTTACCAACGGTAAATTCCTTTCAAGTGTGCTAAACAACGTGAAGTTCCTTGCAGTAACTAGGAAGGCTCGAATTATATCTCATATTGAATTACGCTTTTCTCGAACTAAACAACCGAGTATCGACATTCCAAATTGATGTAGTCGGTGAAAAAAATATATCGAAGTTGTAAAATCGATCATAAGTCAAGGAAAATATGTTTTAAGTATCTGGACAAGTAATTCAAAGAAATTTGAGGGGATGAGTTGAAAGCTTCACTAGGGAAGCATAAAACATACATATGTATGTTAACAAGTGGATTGTCATAGTGATTTTCATGACCAGCACTTGACACTTCGATAACGTCATCGAAATTTTTTAAACTACTCTTGATAAATAATATAAGAATGCAAAGTGAGATGCGCATTATTCTACAATTACGGATTGTAAGATATTCAAAATATTGGTAACCCTAGATATCACTCGATACTTTAATCTATGACCTCGTTACATTTCTTCCAACGACTAAATCAATTTGAATCGTTTGAGAAAACGGACAACAAGCGACCATCGAGCGATTGAATTAACGTTGACTTGATGATAAGCTAGATGGAAAATATTCGCGGCGAGATCAATGTCGCGTGTAACAACAAGCTTTCCCTCTATAAACCAGTTGTGCTCCACCAATAATTGCTAATTATGTGTATTTTAATTTGGGCATTGCCACTTACTAAGATTGTCCTATACGCATACGCTCATGAACACAGGCTCGCGCACGCGCCCAAGCAAACTACACACATTAAATGTTCACACGTAACGTACACGTATATAAACATACGCACTCACATATAATGTATATTTTATATAGAATTGCTTAAGAACGTTTTCGTAGACTTTTCTAAATGCTAAAATGTTTGCTGCAAAATAATGATTGCTATATTAAGTTTCTCTTTCAATATAAAGTTTGGTGTACGAAGATTTTTGAAAATTGTTCAAAATTCAATTTTGAACGCATGTTGCTTAATGTTGTTCACATTATTCATTTCCTTCTTGCAATGTACGAAATGTTCTAGAAAACGCATGTCGGCCGTACGAACCATTCAAGTGTCCAGGAGATGGAATGTGTATCTCGATCCAGTACCTGTGCGACGGAGCTCCCGACTGTCAGGACGGATACGACGAAGATTCACGATTGTGCACAGCTGGTAAATCCTTAGACATGTTATTTCATTTATATATTGATCAATTTGCTATTATTTATTACTTTTCTTTTGTTCACAGTAATGATAACATGTTCCTAGCTCATTAAAAAATAAAAAAGTACGATTCCCATTAAGCATAAGAAACTAAATAGTTCAGAGAACTCGCGTAACGCGGCAGTGAAAATAGGCACAAGGTTACGAGGAAGTTTCCATATGGAATGAACGTATCGAGCTTAGGGTGTATTGGTTGTCTGATTTCTGCTTGGCCGCTACTACTGCTTGGCCAACTGTCTATTACCAGATTACAATCACTAAGTTCCATATTATAGCATCTTTACTTATAAAGTTGACATCAACAAGTAGAATCAATTGATTCGAACAAAAATGAAAAAAGGCAGGGTAATATGTAAAATATGTAGACGACTTTATCGCTTGTTTTAGCGAAAAGACCTCCAGTAGAGGAGACTGCTAGCTTCCTGCAGTCCTTGTTGGCCAGCCACGGTCCTAACTATCTTGAGAAATTATTCGGGACCAAGGCAAGAGACACATTAAAACCTCTTGGTGGGGTGAACACTGTAGCCATAGCGCTTTCCGGTAAGCCAAGCTTATTTCCATTATAATAGTATATGTGAAGCACTTAAATTTCCTCTCAGTCTTTTATAATTGATTCAAACACGATAAATTCTTATTTGTAGAGTCTCAAACTATTGAAGACTTCGGTGCAGCCTTACATTTGATGCGTTCTGATTTGGAACATCTGCGCTCCGTATTCATGGCGGTGGAAAACGGTGATCTAGGAATGTTGAAATCGATTGGTATTAAGGACTCCGAGCTGGGAGACGTGAAATTCTTCCTGGAAAAGCTTGTGAAGACCGGTTTCCTTGACTGAATAGGCATTCCTTTGGAACGACACCACGGAGGCATTATAACATTGGCTGTATCGTATTACAATCGCACTATCCTGTTGCTTTAAAAGCTCGATTCTTTTGCAAGATCTTCCTTGTGAAATGATCGCCACCTATTTATCTCCTTCCCTTTTTCACACGCCTTTCCTCCTTCTACGACCGTTTCCTCCTTTCTCATTTCGCTTCCTTTCATCTATCAATGTCTTCTTATATTGTTCTTCTTGTTTTTCAAAGAACACATCGTGTACGAACACCGAAATATTGAGTCGAAGAGATATCCATCGTTATCGAGAGGCATGGGAGTACTGAACGCTTAAACTTTTACTAAATGTTTAAAGTCTAAATACGCTTGTACATCTATGCACTTTTATCGACGCGGCGTCCAGCTCTCTTTCGTGCCGCAACGAATACATGTTTAATTCGACGAATTTTTCTACGAAAGAAATAAAATGAAATGGAGAAAGGAAATAAAAAAAAAACAATTTAGATAGAAATGGATGGATGGACAAAGTCACATTGGAGCTACGGGCAAGAGCAATTACTAGGTCAATTAATTATATTTTACTCAAGCGTTCTATTCGGTGTCAGGCAGCTTGTAATCGATTAACTGTCGCTCGCTTTCGTGACCGGCATGGCAGCGTCGACATGCGATCAAAAACACAAAAAATGATATGGAAGGGGAAAAAAGAATATTACAGTCTGTTTAATAACTTAATCTCATTTATTGATCGCTGGTTCCCGTTTTAAGTATTAAAATATTTTGTCTTAGTTTCCATTATATGTAATGTTCATTGGTCTGATTTTCAATTTTCTCCCAAATGCAGCGCAGGAAGTAGAAACGTATCAATATATTCAATATTATTATTATAGAACTATCGCAAGGGCTCCCATGCATTCCTCTCCTATTCTGTTATCGAAGCTGTGCTTCAGTGACTATATTCGTGATATTCAAAATAACGACACGTACATAACTTCATGCATGCACAAGAGTATGCCTTACGGCGACATTGCACGTGGTTTCGTTATTGAACCATCGTACACACACACACGCGCGCGCGCGCGCGCATACACACACGTACATACATACACACGTACATACATACATACATACATACATACATACATACATACATACATACATACATACATACATACATACATACATACATACATACATACATACATACATACATACATACATACATACATACATACATACATACATACATACATACATACATACATACATACATACATACATACATACATACATACATACATACATACATACATACATACATACATACATACATACATACATACATACATACATACATACATACATACATACATACATACATACATACATACATACATACATACATACATACATACATACATACATACATACATACATACATACATACATACATACATACTACATACATACATACATACATGTGGTCTGCTGCACTTTTACAATGCTTGTAAACCGGATGATTACTTCTGGTACAGTAGCCCCTAAAGGTTCTTCTACGAATTTTAGTTTCCCGTACTGTATCAAGCCGAGATTGATTCTGGATATTGTACCGGTATTTCGCGGGTTATAACATTGTAAATGTACGTCATTTGTAAATGTACAAAAAATGTACGTTATGGAACACATGCTGACACTCACAAACATACAATTATTCACTGCTAAATAAGTGAGGGACAATCAGATAAATCTCAGATAATACCTCTTCCATTATATACGAAAGAGAGAGAGAGAGAGAGAGAGAGAGAGAGAGAGAGAGAGAGAGAGAGAGAGAGAGAGTGCTTTGATATACACTACTATGGAGTACAAGAGAGCACTTGATTACACGCAACGCGCGAGTCTAACAATAAGAACCGAGATTTTACAATTAGTGTAATCGGTTCTGTAGAGTAGTATCATTAGCGAGAAGCGTTGTCGACTTTGATTGATGAACGAAATACCTGTACGCACTTTTTTTCTTGTCGATACGCGTTGAGCAAAAATACGTAAAGAAGTCCGAACTTGAATATTTAAAATTTTTCGTTGATATATGTTTTAACGATTACATTAGACAAGAAGGTTATCCATTATCTCAATCGATTCCTGTATATCTTCTTGCTTATCTCTTTGGATACATTTCATTTCGAGACACGTTACAATGGAATCGATTACACGATTTCTTTCTTTTCGATCAATCGATGAATCTTTTAGTCCAATATAAATGGATGAATAAATTATACTGAAAGAAAAACACGTACATGTGCACACACAACACATACATGTATATACACATATATATATATATATCTATTTTAAGGATGAGAAACGGAGCAGGTACAAATTGAGAATCGTATCGTGTTCCTTCAGGGTATAACGCGCACTATACTTAAGAAGATAGATGAAGACGATGATAATGATGAAGCCAGTATATAATGCTATAATGTATTAATATTTTCATTACGGTAACGCAACACAACATATCAGTATAAATACATATCGAATAATAATCTAATCTGGAGATAACGAGTGCCGAAATCTCTCAGGGAGCCAATTCTCCAATTATTTCTTTTTCTTAAGATATGAGAGATCATGAGTTCCAGAATACAATCTCTTTTCGAGGTTGAAATTTTGAAATGATATTAAACGACAAAATGGAGAACAATCATATAATACGGCTACACCCTGTAGAGACTTCTGTATAATGATGAAATGCATCTCTAACCTATTAAGCGTAATATCTTCTAGTCAACCAATGACATATCTTCTAATTAATGATAAATAAGTTTATATAATTACATATCAACAAAAAAAGAGTCACTTTTATCAGATAGATATAATATTTTGGTATATAAAAAACGAGAAGAAAAAATGATAGAGAGAGAGAGCGAGAGCGAGAGAGAGAGAGAGAGAGAGAGATTTAACGTTCCCTCCAGATGTCAATTACGGTCCAAAGTAGGGCCTGGACCGAAGACAGAATCCTGAGGGAAGTTTGTGCAAAGTTTTAAGGAATCAAAACTTGTTTGGAAGGATAAAGATGTTCCGAATCTCCGCTCGTGAACGCTTTAATCCTTTCTCCTCTTCCCTACCTCCCATTTCGCCCCTATCACAGTCCTATTCATCCTCAATTTTGACGTGTTACATTTAAGATAAAACCGTTCATCTCCGGTGGTAAATTGAAATTAATACACCCAGGACACGTACGATGTGCAGCGCGGTATATTTCCATTTGCTTTTGAGTAATGGATTTCTGAAATGCTTGTACACGCCACGTGTTCTTCTCTCTTACTTACAGCGAACAATCTTATACTTGCCCTTTTTATTCTATGATTTAAACTAAAGAAATATTCCAAAACCTAATCTATATAGCCTAGGTACTGTCATTATGAATGTCATTGTGAATATTTGTTATGGTTGATATTCTATGAAATTGTTATTAATGGGTACGTTGCACGATAATTACAATTTCAACAAAGTTGCACTAAGAAAGTAATATGAATTAATTTTTATTGAAATTTATTTTAATAAAGTATATTAGACAAATTCAGAATTATATTGTAACAGAACATATTTACATAATTCGTCCATAGTATTCAACTAAAAGGATTATTGTGTAAAATGGAAGAATTTAATTTTTTTTGATTTATTCATTCAGGATGTTCCGTTTTTTGAGAAAGTTTCTCTCTGCGAAAAGTAATTGTAGCGTGAACGAGCATTATCGGATCTTATTGTCGGTCAATGACGGTGTACCGTGTGTGTACGTGCAGATACATTGACTATCTTAATTATCAAAGATTTAAACAATGTAATAATGTAATGAAAAATCACACGCCGTCATATCTATGTTACTTTCGACTTCTAATTGTTCTACTGCCAAATGCATTCTTATTATACGAGAACTGTGACGTACCGTAACTCTTGTAAGTGATCTTGCTTCTTAAAGTTTTGTACTTCTATTAATTAAAAACAATGTTTTTGCAAATAAGTTTAGCGCGCGATGATCATTAAATAAAGTGAACGTTTCTTCAGTTTTATTTCACAGAATTGACATTATACCTGACCACATATAAGCATACAGATGTGTGTGTGTGCGCACGCGCGCGCGTGTGTGTGTACATATCGTTCATGATTATTGTAACCATTAAATATGCTCTTTCTGCTTTCATACACATTTTTTCTTTTTTCCACCGGGTGGATGTAAAATCGGAATTTCATAAAACTGTAATAGTGAGTAATACTCTCCTCCCTTTAAGCTATTCGAAGATCCTTGAAAACTGTCCATTGTTTGAAAAGCTATGAAGCGAATAAAGTAAGGGAAACAAGTCAGACTAAATTTATCTGACGAAATATTTTATTTAGAGCATATCCAATTTACATATTAAAAAATTGAACGGAAAATAATAATAGTATTGAAATAAAATATATCTTGAGCTCTCATATCGTGGTTTATTTTATCCATGAAGTTGTATGCACTGCAACTGACATCTCCATTTAAGCAAAGAATTTACACAGTGTACAGATAAAGAAATGGAGTATTTAATTTACAGTCCAGTCGGACCGATTAATTGATATTTGTCAGTAACCCCACCGAGGTTTTTCAATTCTTCGACCAAATCTCGTACGTTTATCTTACGGGAAACAACTAATGTTCGTTGATTCTTCGGACCATAACTGTGCGATTTTAAACCCTGTTGTCTTGCTACCCTAAATCGATTTAAAAGTACATTTAATAAATTATATTTTTTAATTTTACTATCTATTTTAGAAAGTTCCATAGGTAAACATACTCATGAATTGCTGCTCTCTCTTCACTAGTAAAGTCAGCAGAAAATACTAAGTCATTTTGCATATCACCTGAAAGATACTTCCTCATGATGTCCTTTGCTTTGATCTTTAAGTCAGTCATATTACAAGAATTAGACTTTAATCCTAAACCTTCTCTACTAATCTGCTGTTTAAGCCTGCAAATATAAATTCAATGTTAATAGAATTGTTCACTAACTAAAACAAAAGTGATACTTACATAATAGGTTCCACAATTCCTTGTTGTAATTTCCCAAGACCACCACCAGTCCAACCCATTAATTTCATTAATTTTTTACCAATATTGTCATCAGAAATGCATTCCTCTTTTTTCATACTTTTTATTGTTGCTGTTGTAGTTACATTAGCATCCATATTTATATTGTGTTTAATCTGCGTGATATTAGAATGACAGATTACTCAAGGATGTCTTCAGTACATATGAAAATAGAAAAGAATCTTTTTGTTACAAACCTTAATTGTATAATAATGCTTCTCTAATTCATGTAATCCAACAGTGGAAGCTTCTTTCTTTGCCAATTTTTGATTAGAACTACAAGCTTCTGCTAGTAGCTTTGAATTAATAAAAATACTGCATTTGCTGTAAGCAAATGATTAATTAACTTTGAGAAATTATAGAAAATGAAGGAAAAATATTAACATACTAAGAGTCTTTGATTCTCTCAAATTTCCAGTCTAAATCTCCACCTGCTGCATTCACTGCACAGGCAAGTATATTTTGTGGTATATCCCCTGGTCTTTCCACTATCACAATATCACCAAATGAAAGCTCTTGTAATTTTCTGTGTTTGGCAGGTACTTCATTAGATTTTGAATAATGAGATGCTCTTTTACTTTGAGACTGATTTCCTGTTTCAGCTTTATTGGCAGATGATGAGGCAGTGAGTCCTAGAAAAAATATTTTCTTTAAAATAAAGAATATGAGAAACAAAGTACCATTATGCTTCTCTGATGACTATTCAATGAATGGCTTAACTCACAATTTTTTAATGTACCTTTAACCTTTAAACTAGCAGCGTCAGAAGCCTTCACAAATGTTCTTTGTATTTTATTCTTTTGTTTTTCTCTATAATCTTGAGCAATATCATGAGCTAATTCAGCTATCAATTGCATTGTCTCTTTAGGATACCTAAAGAAAGTTATCAAAATATAAGCAATGCAACAAATTTACCACTACAGTAAGCAACATAAATAAGTTTTAATATAAAATTATATTGTCCTACCTGCACCCAAGTACTTCGATATTGGTAAACACTTGGGCTAAACAAATAAGTTCGTCTTCTGGAAATTTATCTTTATGCGCTAAGAGAAATTTACGTTTAAGCTCCCAATGTTCATCAGATTCGTGTTCTGTCTTGTATCGTTCTACATCCCAATCTTCCTCTGCATTCATTTTCATTACAATATCATACAATTTATGTGACAAATTGCAAGTTTATATATACGTATCCACGTTAAATGTATACCATTAACTAAAAATGAAATATAACCTTTCATATAAATCGAAAGGACCGTCGAAAAATATGAACTCTTTTCTTACTTCGATGAAAGTATTCAAATCATTTTTTGTTTAAATATCATTTCTTTTCCTACGCAATTTGTATAAAATTTATGTTATAAAATGCAAATCTTTTCAAAATATTTCACGACCGAAGCACAGATTGTTACTACTAAATTCCTTAGATGGTAGTAGCTTTGGGAAGCTATAGTAAAATTTGTTCACACGCGCTAAATTAGTATAGTGAGGTTAAGAATACAAAAAAAATTAATATAATTTAAAAGAAACCAGTGAAACATG